AAAATAAGTGTATCGGTAAAGTTATATTCAGAAAGAATAAACCAGTTTTATTAAGAAAGGACTTGTGTCGCTAAGGTTTATAGAACGACTGTTGAAAATAAGTGTATCGGTAAAGTTATATTCAGAAAGAATAAACCAGTTTTATTAAGAAAGGACTTGTGTCGCTAAGGTTTCGTGGGAAAGAAGTTACGGAAAATCAACTAACGAACGGAGGCGTAACAACGTGTTTATAACTAATCGAAAGCTCAGAATGTCCCTGGCGTGGTTTTTTCAGCCTTTGCGAGGTATTTACGTGGGGAAAACGGTTTTAGACTCAAAGAGAAAAGGTAAGACACAATAGTGATCGAAAAATAACATTTTTTAAACCCAAATACAGCTTAGCTAGTAAGCTTGATAAATTACATTGGAATTCTGTGGTATTGATATAGTGATTGGTGAGTTTTTCATTTCAAAATTCATATATAAAAACTAGAAAAAATATTTTGTTTTACATCCTTCTCGTGCGAAATTCGAAAAGGCTTAGGAAATGACTGCGAATACGAACTTTGTAACAAAAATCATAAGTAGAAGAGATCATTGTTTGCACTATTTATTTACTTACTCTTCTATGTGTTAATAAAAATAACCGAAATTTTATAATATATTTGTAAACAATAATAACATATATACATACATATGTGATGTATTATAAGAGAAATGTGATTGTGTTTTAAAAAATCCACTAGGACAAAGCTAAGGCAGTTGCACTTTATAAAGGCCAGTTTCATATAAGATATGGTAACGTGCGCCATGGGATTACAGCTTTTGTAATGGTATGCCACGACAGCGGAAGTCACATGACGCTGGTAACACGTAATGAGTATGTAGAAGGTTCCTGAAGGCTCGAGTGTTTGCCAGACGCCCTCTATTTTGTATATATAAGACCGGCAAGAAGTGACGGCATAGATAATTGCAGACAGAGAGAGACGGACAATTGAGTCAAGCGCAGTAGTGACCATAAGTAAAGTGTGTGAATCGTTTTGAATTATAGCATGTGTTTAAGTTAAAGTGACTGTGGAAATTAAGTGTATTGCAAAGTTGTATTGAGAAAGAATAAACTAGAGCACAAAAATAGAGCACTGGTAGCTGCTCTAGAACTCAGGTGTGGAACTTAAAATCAGTCCAAAGTCTACAGGGCTAGGTTTAAGACTAGAGTCCATGCTAAAGGGGAGAGCCTGCAAGAGCTGGCACAGGATTTGGAAAGTATGGCTCACAAGGTCTACCCAACTGTGTGAACCTGATGTCCTCAAGTTGTTGCTGAGGGATCAGTTTGTAGATGCCTTGAACAGTCCACAACTGAAGATACGAGTAAAGCAAGCACACCCCTCTACTATGCAGGATGCAACGGCCAGAGCTCTTGAATTCGAATCCTATGTTAAGTCCAGCACAGGGGTACCAAGGTTGGTACATTCATCAGGATTCAAGGCCAGAAAAGGTCAACTTTCAGAGAGGTTTGAGGGACTTCGCAACAAACCCGGGCACAAAAAATATCAATGCTGGAAACTTCAACACAAGGAACATGCCACGGCAGAAAAGGCTGCTACCCAGAAAGGTTGTTGGAACTGTGGAGAGCAAGGACATATGAGGAGCCAGTGTCAGAAGAATACTACCAATAAGTCAGCCTCATGGAAACCAGTAGTGACTGTGGAAATTCTGTGTATTACAAAGTTGTATCGAGAAAGAATAAACTAGTTTTAATTAAGAAAGGACTCTTATCGCTGAAATTCCTCAGATATAATTTATACCGTAAATTAACAAACGACCAGACACGTAACAAATCTTCTGGCTGATGCGAGAGGAGACACTTCTACACCATCTTGTGAAGATGAGATGGAAGATGATGATGGCGTGGCTGCTCCTATTGTGTCTACAGGAACAGCAGTAGGATACTTAGACGAAGTGAGGGATTTTGCCATTTGTCGCCAAAATCCCGAGTTGCTCGAGTTCATCAGTAAAAGTAAAACTGCAATTGAAAAGTCTATGTGCGATTCCAAATGACTAAAACAAACCACACTCACTAACTTTCTGAAGGAATAAAGATTACTGTGTTATGTATTGTAATGTATAGAATACATGTCTATTAGGAGAAAAGCATCAAGTAGACATATGTACACTATGACAAATGGGTACATTATGTGATTTAGTTATGTACTGTATATAGCTATATATGTACATTTATAATAAAGTGTAATGCTGTAATAAATATAAGTATATAAATACAGTGGAACGATATCTTCTGCAGTTCTCTGTCCATTTTTGAAGCTATGTCTCCCCTGAGGAAAGACCACCCTTCTTGAAAGATCACCACTCATATGAGCCACTGCGTGGTCTTTCAAGAGGAAACTGTTGTACTTGAAAATGATCGCACCAGTGATCGAAACGTCGCACCTGTTTTAAAAAATAATATTCCTTATAGTAAAAGTTGTAATTTGTGATAAAATAATACTTAATTAGCAAGTAAACTCAAAACGAAAATATTAATTTTTTTTTCAGTTTCACTGTCTAGACATTTCATTTTACTCTCCCAATACATATACTAACAACAATAACAGGTTATACTTTTATTGCTAAACAAGATAACACAAAAGCCATTGTTGAAAACACTTATCAGACAGAGTTTGATTTTATAAGAGTAATGGATTCCTACGATTTTCAAATGTAACATTTACTTAGTACATGATATAGAGCCCATTTTGTATTATATTATTTTTTTGAAACACAACAAATTAAAGTGGGATAAATTAAAAAAGACAGAAAAAAGCAGCATGTCACGTGACCAGCAGTGCCATCTTAGCAAAATATTGGGAGGATAAAGCTTTCCCTTCAATATTTCTTCTGAAAAACACTTACCAACGATCCTTTGTATTCCTGTTCATTTCGTGGCGAGTCTCTTAAAATGTTCAGTTCTAGCCAATTAAAATAATAATAATTTCAAAGTAGGGGAATTACATTTGATTGGCTCACAAAACGTTTTTAGTGTAATGAGTAGACCTTCATCATAGAACCTAATCAAGTGTTTTATAACCTTTCTGATAATCAGTTGTGTGACTTGGTGAAGAAGGTTCTAGCCAGAGGTTTAAGGTTCTCTATTCTCTCCAAAAGGTTCGGTTTAAAAATTTTTACACCATTAATGTTATTCTTAAGAAATGTAGAAGAGTTCCCTATTTGGTTAAATGATATAGACTTAAGTTTTTCTACCTTTCTTTAAAACATTTTCATTATTATAATCACAAATACACCGCCTACAATATATCTAGAGAAGAAGCAGCTTTTGAGAAATAACAAAGATATCGACATTGTAAAACCGGATAAAGATAATTGTATCGTACTCTTGTATAAGATTATACTTAGGACCGGATTAAGGGTTAGTTGGGCCCTAGAGCCAGGTAATATTTGGGAATATTAATGATAATAATAATAACTCACTCTTGCCTCTATTATGATAGTTTTACGAACCATAAGTTTTTTACTTGGGTAGCCGGTGGGGTACCTGTATGGTCGAGACCCTAGGTGGCTTATGCGTTAATCCGGTACTAATTATACTACTAAGGTTTTAGATACATATTAAGAGACTCGAGTAACTTTAAGAAACTGAAAAAGGATCCGACAAAATAAAGATAAGCAAAATAAGAAAGATTTTCGTTAAAGATTAAAAAAAAGGCTTCATTAACGATAGGACCTACGATAACATAAGACCTGTAGGCTCACACTGTGATGTATTACATGGTATATTAAAGGTTCATAAAACAGGCGTCTTTCACAGACCAATAGTTTCTACAAATCAGCTGGATTATTAGTGCTTTTTTTGAATGAAAATAACTGTATATTAATTTTAAATAAAGATAGTTTTGAATTCTCTTCAATGGCAAAAAAAAATCTAAAACTTGATAAAACTGTTTTGTGCTAATTTTGACATTATTTCCTTGTTTATTAACTCACCTCTAAATAAGTGTTACAGTCAACGATTGATTTAGTTTATCAAAATAATCAAAACGTAGAAGGATTAAGTAAACTAGATTCTCAATAATTATTAGAACTCGACACAAAATAGTCTTGATGACGTAGCACGCTTCGGTGTTCCACATAAACTGATGATTATGGAGGAGCCAAAAAAGTCTAAATTTCGACATTGTAAACTGTGTATATATTTACATTAGCTTCCCTGACACATAGCATGCTAAACCAGACATTTCGCAATTGTAGGAATATTTTTAAGGCTTACTAGATTCCCCCTTCTAGCCCCCCTGCCCCCGAGTTGGCACCGCTGCACGTGACACCTATAAGTAGGATAAGAACTACAGGTAGCAATTATGAAGAAAAAAAGGACAACAAATTCCTCTATGTGTCGTTTAGATTTCGTTACGATTATGTATACGTATGTATCTAGCTTAAATATATTGGAATAACTAACTCAGTATACAGTATTCTCAGATATCAAATTGATAATTCTGAAAACAAAGCACTAACTAAAATTGTGGATAAGGTTGCTACGCTGAATAACGGAATAATGTCTAAAGTTTTTGTAAAACTAGCTCCACTGTCTCCACAGTTTAGTTTAAATCAGAGTTTCCCAACTTTTTCTTCCCAAAGGATATTGTTCTGTGTGCCTTAGTATCTAGATTAAGAATGTGGAGTTAAAAAATACAACACGCTTAACATAATGTCTTTCGACAAGTATAATTAATCATAATCATGTTTTGCCAGCTTGTAAAAGGCGTTCACACCATAAAAATTGTTGTTGTAACATATGGCCTATATATATATATATATCGATCATTACTGTGTATGTTGTATGTCAGCCGGCCTGAAGAGTTCTGGAGTGAGTGTAACGCGTCGTCGGCAATGGATATGACGAATATAGTGCTGTTGAAATGCTATTATTATATACACTTCTAAGTCTTGAAAATCCATATGGGAACAAATGAAGAAGCAGTGATAATAATATATGATAAGCCTAATATAATGTCTTGTGACAAGTATAATTGATTATAGTGTTCTGTTTTTTATTTGTGGATAAACAAGTAAATGTATTTAAAAACCTCTTTTTTTCCCCTTTCTCATACGTTCTGCTAGGTTTAGTTGATTCATCTCACGTATTTGATCACAGTGTTAAACATAATCACTTTGATTTTTCAGAGGTTGAAATCATTGACATAAATAACAAAACAAAAACAGCATAAATTTTAGGAAAATTAAATTACCTATTTTTATCAAAAACCTAATTAACAAACTTTGTAGTATTCTCAGATATCAAACTGCTAATTCTGAAAACATTGACCCTAAAAACGTAATGGATATGGTGGACAAATATGTTTGAAATATTATTATATACTCTTATATAATATACCTAATTAACAAACTTTGTAGTATTCTCAGATATCAAACTGCTAATTCTGAAAACATTGACCCTAAAAACGTAATGGATATGGTGGACAAATATGTTTGAAATATTATTATATACTCTTTTTTTTAATTTTTGAAAAAAAAACACAAAAATCTTAGGAACTAAATAAATAATGCAGTTTTAAAGGTATAATTATGTCGATGTGCAATTTGACTATTTTTTTGAGTAAAAGTCTACGAGTAAAATTGAACTCTCACTCTCAGTCCATAATTGGTTTACTTTTTGAAGCCCTTTTAATGCACTCTAAGTGCCTTACCTTAAACGTTTTGCAGGTTATTTTAGGGAGACTACTCCCCTGTCTTGTTTCTCTTGAAAACATCCACAAATTTGTTAAGGGCTCTTGTCACATAGTTAAAAAGCACAAAAATTGTGATAGTTATGGGACATTGTTCGCTTTTTGCATTTTATTATTCTATGTTTTTGGTGCATTATTTGATTAAATAAAAATTGTTTGGTGCACTACTACCATTAGTATAAAAAAGTTGGGTTAAGTATCATCGATAGTCGACAGCAAAAATAAAAGAAAGAATAGAAAAAAAGAAGGCCCAGGTAAATTCCTTGTTTTTCATTTGCATTTTTTATTATTATAAAAGTAACTAAAATGTCAAAAAGGGAAACTCTTTAGGTTAGATTAGGTAAAATAAATAATGATTAGTAATTTTTCACGAGGCACGCTCGTGAGCAGCTCCAAGTAACTCGTGGGTAATGTAATTCGACAGCATAACGTGAGGTGCACGTTTCCCAAGTGCTTTACAACTTATAATGGTACAAACAGTACTTATACACGGTTCTAAGGGTAATAAAACAAGTAGGTGAATTAGTATTAAAACTTAAATAAAAATTTTGGAAATAAGAAATATGACAACCTAACAATATAACACATTATACAGATATTCTAAAATTTTCTCTTCATCAAGGTAAATCTTTAGTATTATTGATTTACATTTCAGCTTCTGCATTTAAGAACACATGGACAACGGTTTCTTAAACCGTTGTCCATACTACTTGATTTCTGATGCGAAAACCATTGGGCTTTCTAGACAATTAACAGTTTTTTATTGATAATAGAGGAAGTGACACAGTCTTTTATGACGCAAGTAAAACATTTTTTATTCTTTTTTTTTTCAGTCTTTAGGCTTCATCTTTGAATTATACCATGATATATGCCGAACATACTGAATTGCGTAAAGAAAAATGTATTAGATATTATTTCCAGTTTAGTGATTCCAGTAAGGTACAATATGCTAACAGAACATAAGAAGCTGGTAATTACCATAACTTTTAAAATAAATTGGAACCAGTTGCAGAAGCGATCAGTTACCTATGATTAAGCGGTGTATGAACTCATTAGGGGGGGGGGGGCTATATTAATGAATTTTAGCAAAGTAATTTTCATATGAAAATAGCATTCAAAGGTAATTAGAATTGAAAATAATGATTCTGCGATCATTTATAAAAGAGGCGAATTAATGAAATGTATAGATAGAAAGTACAAAATTATAGTTGTTAGAGGAACATTGTATTTCGCGCAAGGTCAGAACTGTTTCGAAGCATGAAACTTCAAATTAATGTTAAAAGATTACGTGATTGATACAACAAAATAGGTCAATATAAAAACAAAAATTAAATTTTACGGTGTGAAATACCGGAAGGGGGCGAAGCGATGAAATAATAGGCCTAATTTTTGTGATAAAATTAAAAATCACATCAAGCTGCAGTATGTATTTTCACACTTCTCTTACGGATTTTAAATCAGACGTTTAGTAAAAAATAAAACAAGTAAAACTTCAGATCTAGGTTTATTCTACTACACAATAAGGAACAGGTACCTAACTCTGTTCATTTATGCACCACTGGTCATTACTTAGGAGGACTTTCATACAATACCAAAATTCATCAGCTGGCTGTACATAATAGAAGCTAAAACCGAAATGTCGATATAAAACGCTGTTTTATGAAGAATATGAAAAAATTTAATATTACAGTATTAATGCCAAACTCTGGCGAGGGAATAGAACTAATAGGCCTAATTTTGCAATTAAGATCTGCAGTCTGGAGAGATTTTGACCACGAAAATTAAGCCTAAACTAAAGCTGAAACTATCTATGATAACAGAGAATGTTCTTATTTGCACAACTTTTTTTGAAAGTGTCGGTATCAAAATTCAATAATAATAGCTGAAACGGCGTCTTTTTTTGTATGTCATTCCTTCTGTGCATCTGACTTCTAAACCCAAAGTTCTAAAGTACATAATTTGAACAAATATATATGTATAAACTTACCAGCTCCAATAACCTTGGATGCCACAGTTATACTTCCTTCATTGTTTCGAGCTTTGCATAAATAATCTCCGAAATCAGTTTCTTGAAGCCGCGTTATTCTTAGTTTTGTAGAAAGTATCTGTACTGTTACACTTGCTTTCAAAACACGGTTATCCTACAGAAGTAGAATATGCCAAAATGTTTAACTAAAAAGAAAATTAATATGCGGTCAGACAAGTAAATATGATGCAAATAGGCATATTAAACTATTGAGGAATCTCATTTTTCACATAACTTCGTTTTTTGACTTTAGTTTCTAACAAATAAAAGTTGTTTTGATAAGTCATTGTAATTCAAAACTAGTTTTTTGACGAGACATCATATTTGTATTCAATGGTATTAATACCAAAAGTTAAATAAACTCAAAGATAAGAAGAAATTAAAAATGTAATTAAATGACTATTTTCATAATTTAAAATGTGGAATTACGAAAAGTAAGAAAAACATATAAATGAAAAAAAAAACACAAAAGAACCGTCAATAAGTTTGTTTTATTTTTAATTAAG